TCTCCAAAAACGCACTTTTTTATGTCTTTAAAAGCCATGTTTCGATTTAATGGGTATCTATCGCCACATTGAAAAATATATGATTCGACGTAGAATTTGATTGCGCATCTTTTAAGAGTATTTGAAGAGTGGCGACGCATACCCATTAAATAGAAAATTGCGAAAAACGTTTGCTACGTTATTCCTTCGTTCCGACCATTTTCGTGCTTTACGATGTATTACAAAAATGATCAGCAAAAATAAGTGTCTAAAATTTTCAAGCCATTTGGTGCAGTAATTCTCGGGGTAATTTTGCAAGGGGTTCAGCTTTGACGGTACCGCGACACTTGCGGCGCGGACACTTGCGGCGCGACACTTGCGGCGCGACACTTGCGGCTGCGACACTTGCGGCGCGACACTTGCGGCGCGACACTTGCGCCCGACACTTGCGGCGCGACACTTGCGGCGCGACACTTGCGCCCGACACTTGCGGCGCGACCTTGCGGTTATTTAGTATAAGCTATATAAAAATAGTTTAAGGTGTTATTTGATAAGCTGCATCCGAATTTGGCATTAAACAATTATAAAAAGTCGCGTTTGCGACCGAAGTCACTCAATTTGGAGGGAAAGTGGCCGCTACTTCCTCCGCTCTGCGACTAGAAAAAGGCTTCGTGCCACCCGGGCCTAGTCGCTTCGGATGGGCGCGAGCTCGTATAGGGTTTCCTAAATCGGGGCGCCGGGGGAAGCGCCCAGGCGCCCCGATTTAGAAAGAGTGGAGCGGCAGCCCATCCGAAGCGACGGCCCACCTTTCCTGACGCCCTCAGGGGCGTTTCGACTGCGGGTCGGTTAAATTGCTAATTTTTAACACAAATCCAACAATTACAAACAAAATCCGTGAAGAAATGCTAAATTTACAACATTTAAAAATAATGAATGCTGCGCCGCAAGTGTCGGGCGCAAGTGTCGCGCCGCAAGTGTCGCGCCGCAAATGACCGCGCCGCAAGTGTCGGCCGCAAGTGTCGCGCCGCAAGTGTCGCGCCGCAAATGTCGCGCCGCAAGTGTCGCGCCGCAAGTGTCCGCGCCGCAAGTGTCGGGGAGCCGCTTTGACACCCATTTAAAGGGATGCCGACGGCATAGTCAATCGTTTACGCGCTGGAAAGAAAATGTCTCTGCGCCTCTTCCCAGGGCGCGCTCTCTGCCCTGTTGGCTACTTGCCAATTTGTTGATGGGGGGATCGACACATGCCGTCGGCAGCCCTTTAAACCTAGAAAATGAACGTATAAAAATCTCGAAATAGCGCCACCCTACTAATTCGACTATGCTCTTTCACATGACATAAAAAAACTGTGGCAAGGCTTGCTCGGGTCTCTGGCAAACGGCCTTTTAAAAACATGTAGTGTTAATAATCATCATAAATTTGTAAACAAATAAAAAGTACGATGAGACATTGAGAGATTGATGCATTTTGCTCAACTTTGATGCTGTTGTTGACGTTTTTTTCACGTTTTCCGCAGTTTTTCTATCGGTCAGTATCGTGGACCATATTGATATTGATCAGCCGAAATTTTGGCCTAAATGGCCGATTTTAAAGTCCCCGATATTCGCGATCGGTCCACGATATTTCGTATGGTCCCCGATAATTTTTATGGTCCACGATAATTTCTATGGTCCACGATATTTTCTATGGTCCCCGTTATTTTCTATGGTCCACGATAATTTCTATGGTCCCCGCTATTAGGATAGAGCCGCTAAATTCCTTTCAAACTCTTAAAAATGCCACAAAATGTGGCACAACAAAAAATTGCTGGCTATTTAAAATCTTAATAAACTCGGTACCATCCCAGATCACAGGTCAGGTCCACAGGTTAATTTCAAGAAAGTGCAAACAGATCATAATACAGAAATTATTTGCAAGCCGAAACCGCTAGAAACTGGATCTGTCCATTTTAGTAAGGTGCCAGCAACTTTTGGTTGATCCCACATTTTGTGGCATTTTTAAGAGTTTGAAAGGAATTTAGCTCTTTTTGTTGCCACGAGAATTCCTCTCTTTTTGCGAAAACCAAAAGCCCTTTTTTAGAAAGACTCTTTTTAGCCTTAGAGAGAATTTAGCCCTTTTTGCCTCAACATTATTGTTAAGATCGTAAAATAAGCCAAGGAATACTTATTCAGATGAACCCTTGTACGCAAAACTTCAAAAAAATTTGCCTGCGGCGCTTTGTAACGGCACTAGAAACCATAAAGTTGCACCTGGGCCAATCGGCAAAAACCATGTTTTGGGTGGGGTTCGAACTCGGGAGCCAAGTCTTCCCAGTACAGCGTGCTAACCACTAGGCCAACGGGTAAACTGGAGGCCTGTCTTGGGGAAGGTAGACCCGCCCGCCCTGGCTCCCGGACTGGGCCGCCAAAGGGGAGGGTGGCGCCCCGTATGGCGAAGGTTTAAAGTTATAATATCTCAGAGAGGAAGCATTCTTTCGATGCAATTTCTTCTTTACTTTTTCTGGCAAGGTCTAATGCCTATTTGAGCAAAATTTCAGCCCAAACGGACAACACTATCCCTTGTTTTGGCCGCAATTTAGCTTTTAAACTTAAAAATTAAATATAAATTTTTTAAAAGCCTATTTTGAAAAAAACTCTTCTTGCGGTCCGAGATTATCATTAACCCAATAACTGTAAAAAATTTCAGCCCAAACGGATGATGGGAAAGCACTTTTTGACGACTACAAAGGTTTTTGTGGCATACATACATACAAACGCAGACCCCCCCCCTCGAAACGCAATTTAAATCGGCTGTTAAAATTCGAAATTTCACTTTTTTTTCAAATTTTAAAAGCTTGTAGTATGCAAAAAGTGTCGCCGGTTCCGATGGTGTAATCAGTTTGGCGATCCGATGCATCGTTCTTTTTTAAATCCGGAAAAGGACCCCAAAAGAGTCGTATGGGGGGGTACCTCAAACCAAAAGGGGTTAGCGGGCTACGCCCGCTAACCCCGATTAAGGTACCAGGCATTTCTAGATTACAAGAAAAAATTTGTCCCCCCAATAATGCGAAAGAACCTCGTTACTGTTTCGTTTTTATGCTATTGAAATAAACCGATCATAGCAATAATAAAAATGTGTTCAGCGAAACCAATTTGACGGAGCGGCCGTCGAACTGTGGATGCAGGCGCTGAGCGTGGGCCGTGAAGCACAGGGGTACCTAATTCTGGCTACGTTCAGTCTTTAGTTTAGGTACCTAACCGAGCTGTTCAACAAGTGGGGCGAGGAGTTCCACGAGCGCAATATGCAACTCATCGTCCCCGTTGGCGCCCCGTTGAGCAACAAAATGTAGGTGATATTTGAGATTTTAAAGAATTTCCCAGGGAAATGACCGGCATCTTCACGCCCGACATGTTCAAGATGATGCCGAATGTTGATTATGTTCAGGTAATACCTTTATCTTTTTAAATGTTATCGGAACTTTAGGTTATGACATACGATTACCACGGCACCATCGGAGTCGCGCCCTATCCGTGGGTGGAAAATACGATCCGGCTTTTGGTTGAGGTAGTTGTTGCACGTTTGCTCTCTAATGTTATTCTTAGAACGTACCAGAACGGGCGAAGGATCTGATGATCGGACTAAACCATTACGGATACCTCTACAACGATCAGCAGATGGATCCGGTGCAGAGAGAACGGTATGCCAAAATTTTAAAAACATTTGATTCTTTCGCATTATCAGGGGACCGACCGTTTTTGTGTAGTCTAGAAAAGTCTGGTAACTAAATCTGAAGTAGTTTATTAATAGTTTTAGCAAAATATAATTTTACCAAAAACACCAAAAAAAAAAAAAAAAAAGGGAAAAAAAGGCCACCCGAGAACCCCCTTTCCTCAACCAAAAAATTTAATATTTTGTTCTTTTTAATAAACCTCCAAGGTTTCAGTAAGGAAAAAGAAAGAATTAAAAACCCCCCCTCAAATTATCAAAAACTTACTCCTCACACAAAAAAAAAAAAAAATAAAAAAAAAAAATAAAAGCAAAACCCCCCCCACTCGGCCAAAAAAACCAAAATTTTTTATTTTTAATTAAAAAAAAATGTTGAGAAAAAAAAAAAAAACCGGATAACAACACACCAAGGAAAAAGAGAAAATAAGTCGTCTCCCCCCCGCCCCGCCCGATAATGCGAAAGAACCAAACATCTACATTTCCCTAGATTCCTTGAAAAGTCGAAGGAGAAGAATGCCCGATTGGAATGGGACGATATTGTCAAGGAGCATCGGCTTATCACCAGGTTCAACAGTTTTTCCTAATAATATCAAAGATTTAGTGAGGGACGTATCTATTACCCGAGCCTGACCAGCGTTGAGTCGAGGATCAAGCTGGCCAAGGCCTACGACGTCGGCATCGCCATTTGGGAGCTGGGGCAGGGGCTCAACTATTTTACACAGGTTTTGTAAGGGTTTTTTGATAGTCGCGCGGTATTTTTCTGATTATTGTTGTTGATTTTCGCTTCATCAAGGTTTACTCTCCTCCGGGTTTTTATTTAATTTATTCGCTGTGATGATCGTCTTCGTCAAGGTTTTCAGGTTCTGGACTGTTAGCGGGGGGGGGAAGCAATTTTTGTTTTTCCACCTACATGTTGATAAAAATGTATTTTTGTTCCTTTTAGTGGTTTTTGATTGTTAAAAAGTTATAAAAATATTTTGAAATTTTGAAAATTCGAAAATGTTGACTTCTTTTACTCATTTTTCATACATTTTTGTCCAAAAATTCAAAAAATTTCGAAATATTTCATAAATTTTTCTATATTTATTTACATCTAAAAACTATGTAAAGTTTTACAAACATGATAATTACTGGGAAAAATTTGCCGCCCCGCCAACAATCCAAAACCGTCCTTCATTCCCATAAATCAAGGCCATAAATCAGTTTATCAGGGTTAACAGACATTTCAAAATACAATAAAAAAAACAAATACCCAGTGGTCACTGATCGCAGCGAGATTTCTAGCGTACTAGCTCGACTAGAGGTTCATCATGGTTTATTTGGATTGGAAGCTGGAGGCCGACTGGGAGAACGATGTGCCCAAAAGACTTCTGGCCGTCGAGTGGGGTGGTGAGACGGGAATCGCGCTTTCGCCAGACGGCTTGATCGCCTTGGGCGCGTTCTAAAATGCGTGGTAAAATGAGGTATGCGTGTTTTGAGGATTACCTTATGATCGCCAAGCATTTGCCGCTGGACGAGGGTGGCGTAGGTGCCGGGTTGGCGAAGAAGCTCTTCGTGCGTTCCTTGTTGCTCCACGACACCCTGAGAAAACGTGAGAAATGTTGAAGCTAGTTCTTTTACAATTAAAAAATCATAAAATGGGAAAATTATCGATTTTTGGCCGAGTTTTCAAAGTTTTTCGCGTTTAAAATTTCTCCGTACTGGGCTGTTAGCAGGGGAAACTAATTTTTCCCAGCGACCCTGTACGAATTTTTATTATTTAAAATAAACTCCAGCACAAGAGTAATCATTTTGATAGTGTTTTACAAGGTTTCAGCTTTCATATATATTCATAGATATAACATTTTCATAAAACACTTATAAAAAATTTCGAAAACTCTTAACTTTTTGGTCCAAAAATGTATGTAAAACAACCAAAAAACGTCACAAATTTTCGAATTTTGAAAAATGTTTTAGAGTTTTCTAGCAACCAAAGCCTGCGAAAAACATTCTAAAAATACCTCTTTATTGTCTAAAAAAGAAGGCATAAACAGAAAACCGAAAAATTAGTTTTCCCCCTGCTAACAGTCCAGTACCAAGTTTTCCAAATAGCTTTTAAGCTGGGGCATAGCTAAATTATAATCAAACGCTATCAAAATCCTTCCGTTTTTACAGGCTTATTCCTTTTTTTTGCAAAAAATTACCTTATTGATGACAATAATCTTATCAGCCTTCTCCACAGTCGACAGTCGATGCGCAATCATGATCACCGTCTTTCCTTCCAAATTTTTTGAGATGGCTAAAATTTTCGTGGATATACTAATTAAAACGAATGAAATTTAATTGAAATTCTACTAATTAAAATTGTGCTCGGATAACCGACCCTCCTGGACGACAGACTCGCTCTCTGTATCCAGCGCTGACGTCGCTTCATCGAGGAGCAGAATGGCCGGCTGCCGGACGAGCGCCCTCGCAATGGCAATTCGCTGTTTTTGACCTCCTAAATCCGATAAGAAATTGCGTTGCCATGTTGTTTTTTGAACGAACCGGACATCTGGCTGCCCTTCTCGCCGACGTTGGTCTGGTACTGCTGCGTCGTTTGAACGATGAAGCCGTGGGCGTTGGCCATTTGGGACGAGGTGACGACGTCTTGCTCAGTCACCTAGGTTTTCATTTGAAAAGTACTAGATTCTTTGGTTTTATCGGGGGGGGGGGGAGAAAATTTTTTCTTAGGATGTCACTTTTAAATATAAATAGCGGTAGTGTTTCTTAATTGTTTTTTTATTCCGAAACGTAAAAACTTTAAACAATATTGCTAAACAATACAAAAGAAAAGACGATTTTCAAAATTTTTTCACCCAACCAATTTTATTAAAACAATTATATATAAACTTAATACATTTCATACCCCCCTTTTTTTTTTTTTTTATTTTTTACCTCACAACCATAAGCAATATTCTCGGCCACAGATCGAGCGAAGAGGATTGGCTCCTGGCCGACAAGGGCAATCTAGAAAACAAAATCCACAACCTAAAAACGCTTACTTTTTGGTGAATGTAGTGGTGTTCATATTCGTCGATTGGCACGCCGTCGATAAGGATCTAAATTTTGTAGTTGAATTTTTTATTTTTGTTTTTTAAACCTGTCCGGCATTTGCCAAGTAGAAATTCTCCAAAAGGGCGATGCACGAGGATTTTCCACTGCCAGACGGGCCAACCAGGGCCACCGTTTGTCCAACTTCGGCGGTGAACGAGAGGTCCTTAATAGATTAAAATAAGATGCATTATAAAATTTAATAAAATTAAATAGAAAATTTACAGAATCATTTATAAGGGCTTTTTTAGTTGCAAAAACATACACGCAAAATCGGCAGTTGAGGCCGGGTCGGGTAGGCAAAGTGGACATTCTTGAATTCGATTTTGCCCCTAAAAGAAATAGAGATAAAAAAGTAAAACTAAAAAAAATAAATAAATAAAAACTGACGCCAATCGCTCGGGCTTCAGCTTGCCGTGGTGTTGGATGGTCGGCTCGCGGTCGATGTATTCAAATACCTGAAATTTCAGGAGTGTACAACAGAATTAAATCTTGCTTATTCCCATGCAAAAATATTGTCTTCTGTATATAAAATAAGAAAAGTTACACAATCTCTAAAAAATCTCCATTAAAATCATGTTTTTCCAGATTTTTGTTATACACACCTTCCTCGAGGCTCCAACCGACTGCATAAGCCCCGTCCACACTTCTCCCATCTGCCTCAGATTGTCGGCCATTTGCATTTGGTAGAGCAGGAACGAGACGAGGAGGTCAGACTTTAAAAAAATTGGGGCTTGCTGTTAGCGGAGGGGAAGGGGTTCGCAGGGGGGAACCAGTTTATGTTTTTCCGCGTTACACGTTGATGTTATATTTTATATATATTACAGTGTTTTTAGTAGTTTTTCATTTCTAAAAAGCTAAAAAAACGTTTTGAACATTCGAAAATGTTGACCGTTTTTGCCATTACTCATACATTTTTGGCCAAAAAGTGAAATTTTTGTTTAAAATTTGTTATGAACATTTATATAAACTATGTTGCTATAAAAATGGGTCATATTTTGTTATATGGTTGTACGGAATTACTGGCAAAAATTTGGTCCATCCGCTAACAGTCCAGAACCAAAATTGTGACCAAAAAGATCAATTTCTACCTTGAGCCTGCCAACGAGCACCAAATGACCGCCATACCAAAGGACAGCGACGACGATGAACGTTTGGAAGAGCTAAAGATTCGTTTTATATGTAGAAAAAAAAGAGTAAAATACCTCAGAGACCCATAAAAAGCCAACATACGCGATGGCCTTTGTTCTGGTCACGTTTAGTGTGTCTGTCAGCCTTTGGTAGAATCTAAAGGAACCTAATTTACTTTTATAACTTTAATGGGTACAAGGATCATATTATTTTTTTGGTGCTTTTATACACCTGAGAGTTTATATAATTTTTTAATAACCTACCGGTCTCCTTCATAATTTTCACAAGCAAAAGATCTGACGGTGCGCATGGTGGAAATCACTTCCTCGGCCACATCGTTCGATTGTGCGACGTTATTCTGCGTCTTCTCGGAGAGGTACTAGAATTTTGGCTAAACCCCCTGGATACCAAAACCCACGTCATAATACGTTCCGAAAATCTTGGACGCTACAAAGATGATTGGGACGAGGATGAAGGTGATGAGCGAGAGACGCCAGGAGAGCGTCATCATGAAAAGCATCGAGCCGACCAGGCACACCACGTTTCTGAAGCGATTAGAAAATGTTCAAAAACCTCGAAATTTCTGTAATTTTGCGTAAAAACCGAATTTTCGAACCAAAATAACCATTTTTAAGAAAATGAGTGTAAAAAGAGAGTTAAACACAATGCAAAAACAAATCCGCTATGTATCTAAAAAAGGCACGTAAGAGTTTCTTGGCCCAAATTGCAGCCATTTGGGTCGTAAAAGATAGATTTTTCAACCTAAAATTGAATTTTTATGAAGTTTTACTGCTGAGAAATCGTTAGAAACAATGCTCAAGCGAATTTGTGACAACCGCAAATCCTAAAAGAACCCAATTTTCGAACCTACCGGAGAAAGACGTTGACGTTCATCGCCACAGTATCTGACATCGTTTGGCAATCAGAGGCCAAGCGCGACGCGATCTCACCTAAAACGAGCCTGGAAAATCGAGCTTAAGCTCACCAGTTTTGTGCGCATCGAAAAAGGCGACATCCTGCTTGACCAATGCCCAGAATAAGTCGTATCGCACGGAACGGGCCACTCGTGAGTAGGCGTATTCGAAAGAGCCGCCACGGAATCCGGCGCAAACACCGCTAAATTCAGAAAGATGAAAACGCAATTATGCATACCTGACGAGTGAAATAACAGTCATCGTATAAACGGCCTGGTGGAGATTGTCATACGATTTCGTCTCGACGACAGTTGCGATAACTTGTCCCGTGTAGTATGGAATAAAGATGCGGGCTAAACATCGTAATTAGGGTTGAACCGGAATCGCGGTTCTTTCGCATTAAAAATGGATGGGACATAAAAATTTTCTACAACTCTAGAAAGGCCTAGTAATTTTATAGGAAGTATTTTACTAATGTTTTTAGTGACATAAAACTATATTTGAACTAGAAAAACTTTCAAAAGTTTTCAACAAGTCGACATTTCGGTCAAAAACGGCCATTTTCGGTCGAAAAAGCGATCTTTTTGAATGTTTTTGAATACAAATTTGTAAAATTTTTGCTTTGGGTAGAAAAAAACAGTTTTGAAAACCCATCAGCTATTTATATTTAAAAAACCTAGATACTAAGAAAAAAAAATTATCCCCCCCCCCCCGATAATGTGAAAGAACTGGAACCGCACTTACTAACTGAATACACAAACAGGAACGTGAATCCAGACAAATGCCAGAGCCACTCCTTCTTGCAATACTGCAACAAGCGCAGCATCAGCTCGGCCGTCTGTTTCGGTGCAATTTCTCCATTTTCCTAAAGATACTGTATATCTTTTGAGCCCAAAATACATCAAATTCGTCCATGACCACGTAGGAGGAGGGCGTGTGCGCAAAGTAGGTTCTCCACGAAACATCCAGGATAAAGGTGCCAACAAACGACCAAACAAGGGCCAGAATGTCCCCGAAAGGGAGGACTTCGCCTAAAAACTTGGATAACCGTATTTTCTCAGTGAGATACCATCCTTCAGCGGCTCGGCGAGGAGCAACAGCTTCGTCGGCGACGCCGCGTACATGAGAATGCAGGCCGAGTTTGAGACGGAATGCCAGGTGGCCAGCGAAGAACTTCTAAGCAAATTTTTCGCGCGCTCCTCCAGCCACCCACCTTCCACCATACGCTAGACATGCTGGCGCGTAGAAAAAGAAGGACCGCGCGACGGCTAGCAGTAGGAAATCAGCCGTCGATGTGAAAGGCGAATAATTTCCAATCTAAACCACGCCAAGCTCTTCAAAATCCTGAAAAAACCAGCAACCTGTTGGTAGAGTGAATCGATTGACAGCGGTCCGGCGTGGAGACATGTCGCTAGGATTGTTATCTAAATAAAAGAGCTTCTAAGGTACATAAACACTCACCGTAAAGTCTAAAATCGAGAGCACCACCCCGACGGCAAGCCGGCTGTTGGCCGTCGCCATCTTTTACCCGAGCCTAGGATTAATATAAGCGAAAGGCAATGGAAAACGAGTTTTAGAGCAGTTCCCAGAAAAATTAATAAAAAGTTCTGCGTTTTTTGTGGAATATTCTTCCCAAAAAGCCAGTCGATTCGATAAGGCGACGGGGGAGTCGCGGCCGAAATTAGGAAGATAGGCTTCTTCGCACCAAGATAACAGCGGCCACTCGGCGCATTCGCTCGGTCGGCTCCTGAATTTTGAACCTGGGGGGTTTTAGAGCATATTTCGGGTGGTATGTTCATCCTGTTGGGCAAGCCAACGTTTGGAAATTTTTATTCAAACAACAAAAAACTGTGCATAATCCTGTCACCTCTAGAAAGATTTACATTCGTAAAAAAGCAATCGATTTGCGTTTTTCATTGGGCTGGCTCCTGCTGATCTTGCTGCTCTGGTTCCTGCGCCTCGTCGAGCCACTGGTTGACGCGCTGCTTGACTGTAGTAAAACTATCTTCATCATCGGGCTGGCGAATCTCCTAGATCGGTAATTATCATGAAGAATCGAGGATCCCTACCACTTTTTTACCATTCCTTTCAAGATCCGCCACATCAGCTGTTACATCCTCCGATGGCTCGGTCTGAGAAAGGGAACTCCAGTTCAATGATAAAATTACCTTATTGATAGATTTCATGCCGGGCACAAGCGGAGCAGGTTGAAGATTTGGGATATAGAAGGTTGCTAAAAACTACCTAACTTCATAAACGATGAGAAACAACCTTCATCAGTTCCGGACGAATTGTTCACAAAGGTCTGATAAAACTGACGATCCCGGTATGCTGCGAGTGCTCGTTGCGCATCTTCCAACACTCCATCTTGTCTTAGTTTCTCGACAAGAGTCTTCGCCAGCTAAATGTGTAGAAAACAATGATTAAACCTAGATCTCAAAACCACCTTTTCGGACTGAGTCTGCAAGATTTTCGCCAGTCTATCTTGTTTCCGCTGGACATGCTGGATTCGTTCCTCAAAACGTGGGAGTTTTGTTGAAAGGAATGAGTACCAGAATTTGATCGGCATCAGCAAGTTCGGCCATCAAACGTCATTCCGGCACAAATTTGAGAGTTTCGGTGAAAAATCGAAAAGAATTTTTGGATTTTTCAAACCGATGCTACGAAGGCTACAAACAACGGCAGTGCGGAATCGAGGCGGAAGGTAGCGTACTAGCCCAATCCGCAACAGAAATTTCGCGTAAAAAGTTTAAGCTCCTTTCTAGTATATACGTTTTATATTGTTACTTTGTAACACTTTTCAAACATATTTGAAAAGTATTTTTCTGAAATGCCAAAATAATGGTTTTTTAGTGCTTGAAAAGCTTTGATCAGTGATGACAAATGAACAGCTTTTTTAGGGTTTGGAAAGTATTTATCAGTAATGCGTAATATCAGTGTGCAAGTAAGTGGTTCTGTTGGTTCAAGTATCGTCGAGCTTCGCCCTCTTCACTCCATATGCGGAACGTAGGCGGTTCGTGGCATGGCGGCCTGCTTCTCGTAGTAGCCCCCCTTGCCATCCAAGCTGCCGGTGTCCGACTCGTAGCTGAAAGGTTCTTTTAGACAAGAACCCGAACGGCTGGTTTTACCCAGAATCGTATCCCTGGGCGATGTCGAGGTTCTGCTTCGGGTCTCTCGTCTCGAAGCGGCCGTGGTTAGAGCGGGAGCGCTTGCTGTAGGGTAATGTACGCAGAATTTTCTGGGTACGCACCGGGATTTGCTGACGCTCCTGCTACGGCTACGGCTGCGGCTCCGAGTGACCGATCGGGAGCGGCGGGCGCTAGGCAGGGCCCAGGTGACCGATTTGCGCGCCAACTCATCAGCCTGAAGCAATGGAAGGTTAGCGCTTTTTCGGGTCTTGATGGTGAGCGGGGTGTGCTAATTTTGGCCTATCTCTCGTACGGTCGTAGTAATATTACAATTTGCATAAATGTTGATTTTTGGGCTGAAAAGGTAGCAAAATGGTCAACAAATTCGGTTCTTTCGCTTTGACGGGAGAAGGGGAACAACATTTCTTGTCTCGAAGTGCCTAGTAACTTAACAGGAAGTGTTTTAATAATGTTTTGAGTAGAATAAAAGGCTACGGTTTACTTTACCCCCCCAGCCGGAAGTTTTTGGCTATAACTTTTTTATTTGACACCAGCGGGGGAGGAGCCGCTTCGCGACTCTCCCCCGCTGGACCCCGTCTAGGCCCTATGAATCGACCGCCTCCCCACGTAAAGTTATCCTGACGAAGGAAAAACGCAACTCTCATGCACACCTCTTTGTATTGGCATGCGGCGCAAGCTAGAACTGCTAGTCTCGTTATTAGGCCTGCGGCGCATGTTTGATCGGCTAGGTTAGGACCTCATACTGGGCCCAAGTTGGAGGGACCTTCTTTGGCCTGCGGAGCCAGCTTGTGCGGCTAGCTTCGTTCTAAAGCCTGCGGCGCTAGCTTGAGCGGCTAGCTTTGTTCTAAAGCCTGCGGCGCTAGCTTGAGCGGCTAGCTTTGTTCTAAAGCCTGCGGCGCTAGCGTGAGCGGCTAGCTTCGTTCTAAAGCCTGCGGCGCGAGCTTGTGCGGCTAGCTTTGTTCTAAGCCTGCGGCGCTAGCTTGTGCGGCTAGCTTCGTTCTAAAGCCTGCGGCGCTAGCTTGAGCGGCTAGCTTCGTTCTAAAGCCTGCGGCGCGAGCTTGTGCGGCTAGCTTTGTTCTAAAGCCTGCGGCGCTAGCTTGTGCGGCTAGCTTTGTTCTAAAGCCTGCGGCGCTAGCTTGAGCGGCTAGCTTTGTTCTAGCCTGCGGCGCTAGCTTGAGCGGCTAGCTTCGTTCTAAAGCCTGCGGCGCGAGCTTGTGCGGCTAGCTTTGTTCTAAAGCCTGCGGCGCTAGCTTGAGCGGCTAGCTTCGTTCTAAAGCCTGCGGCGCGAGCTTGTGCGGCTAGCTTCGTTCTAAAGCTGCGGCGCGAGCTTGTGCGGCTAGCTTTGTTCTAAAGCCTGCGGCGCTAGCTTGTGCGGCTAGCTTCGTTCTAAAGCCTGCGGCGCGAGCTTGTGCGGCTAGCTTTGTTCTAAAGCCTGCGGCGCTAGCTTGAGCGGCTAGCTTCGTTCTAAAGCCTGCGGCGCGAGCTTGTGCGGCTAGCTTTGTTCTAAAGCCTGCGGCGCTAGCTTGAGCGGCTAGCTTCGTTCTAAAGCCTGCGGCGCGAGCTTGTGCGGCTAGCTTCGTTCTAAAGCCTGCGGCGCGAGCTTGTGCCGCTAGCTTATAATTAAGCCTGCGGTGCCGGTTTGAGCCTCCTTAGCCTACGGCGCATTTTGAACGGCTAGCTCTGTCTTTGGGCCCGCGGCGCTGGCTGGCCCGGCTGAACTCCCTTCCGAAGCCTGCGGCGCTAGTATCAGAGGCTAGCTTCATTCTTTAGCCTGGGGCGCGGATTTGAGCGACTAACTTCAAAATAACGCTTCTCTACACGAAAAGCCCTCCGAAATCAACTTTCCGATCAAAAAGCAAAACAACTACTATCCCTGGGAACCGAACCTCCGATGGATAAATTGGCAGACTGCCGCTCTAACCACTACACCATGCAACGATTGGCGACACGCGCGAGGTTCCTCTTATCTGCCTCGAAGCGGTCTGCTCCGGGGAGGGGAAGGGAAGGCAGAAAGAGGCAAATCCAAAGAGACGACCTCATTCGCGCGTGCAACTGTCAAGAATGAGAAAATTTCTATTTTTTCACATTATGCAAATTACCCCCAAAAATGAATAAAACCGGGTTTAACTTTGTAAACTTGTATTTTATCGAAATTCTGAGAACGTCATCGGAAACAGAAGGGTCGATTCCCCCGGGTGACGGAGAATTGGGGCATTTTATGCAGGGAAGGCCCTCAATCGGGCCTCGAAAGTGACATCCACACACACACACACAGTTACACGCCAAAATTATATAAGGTAGGATTGTTGTAGGCTCAAATTAAAACTCTTAGTATATTTTTCGACGCTCTATCGAATGGCGTTGCGAAAATCCCGACAAAATAAGCGAAAATACCGACAACTTTGAGAGCCTTCGGCTGTGGGGGGTAAAGTAAACTCTTACCGACTAAAACTATATTTGTGTTAGAAAAACTAACGAAAACTGTCAAAAGGCGTAATTTTGATAAACACGGCTATTTTTGGTAGATAAATCAAATTTTTTGTAATTTTTGATAAAAATTTGGAAAGTTTTGACGTAGAAACAGATCCGCTATTTATAATTAAAAAATGGATTGCTAAGAACAAATTTTTGCCAGTCCAGAGCCGCTTTATCTACCCCTGCCCCACCTTTTCATTGCCCGGATCACCGGCGTGCGCTTTGACGTGCTGGAACTCGACGCCGTGCGGGAAGACGGCAGCGATGCGGCGCAGCTCGTCGTATCTGGCATTGGATGATAATCGCTTGGAAGCAGGGGCCAACTCGTTGGCGAAGCACCGATTTCCTTGCAAGCGCATCGCCGTGATCAGGGCCAAGTAGTCGGTGCGGAGGATGACGAATTCATTGCTAGAAACGGTTTTTAGTTGCGGAGTTTTGTGTCCAACCGATACTCATCCCAGGCGATCAGCCGGCGGAGGGCCGTCTGGGCGGCGATGATCTCGGCAAGGCCGCTGTTGTGCTCGGTGACGTCGAGGGCTTTCGAGCTGTAGTGGTGATGATAATGGAATAATTTGGACGGGGGTGGGAATTTTGATTTTGACATTTTGAATTTTTTAACTTTTGTTTCCCAGATGGGTACTGAACTGTTAGCAGGGGGACTAATGTTCCCCAGTAATCCTGTACGGCCCCCAAAACAATATATAAGGGATGTTTATATAATACAAGCTTTTTCGATATCAAAAGCTCGTAAAAAATTTGGGCATATATTTTTGGTCAAACATAGTAAGAAATACGGCCAATTTTCGACTTGCAATTCTGCGAAAAATTTTTGGGACTTTCACTATCAATCAATGAAAATCAACCAACCTACGGAAAACGTTATAAAAATACAAATGAAACGACATAATAACCATCTCAAAAAATTACAGATTGAGCGGGTGGCCCTCGCCGAAGAAGATGCCAATTCCGGAAGCACGATGGGAAACACAGCTCCCATCCGTATACACGATGACAGTCTTCGGCGGGAAATCTTCATTGTGCGGTGGCATCTCCCCTTCGGCGAGCGGCGGAAAGCCGAGAATGAAGATGCTTTCAACATTCCGTAAATTGTCTCACCATAACTGCTCCTCGTGTAGCGGAGGGGGATGCACGTGCCGATCGAGGTGGTCGAGGTTGACTTAAAAAAAGTTTTTCTAGAGAATTCCGGAGTACCTTCTCGGAATCGCGTAGAGAGCCGGCGGAGGGGAGGCGGGTGAGGGAGGACGAGGTCGAGTCAGTAGATCGGGTAAATAGTCGGGCGATGCCGTTGAGGAGACGTTGCATTCCGGTCAGTCGGTTAGTCGGTCAATACGTTAGTAGAAATGATTTTTTAGGCGGTGATTTCACGTCATATCGACTTATGCAAATATAGACATTCTTTTTCAATTTATCCATTTTTAAGTATGGTGATTTATGATTTAGATTTATGTAAATTACATTATTTAGAAAGTAGCATTTCAGCGCTCGTTTGTTTCTTTTCAGAAAATGCTAATATCGCCGTTGTAGACTGTTTTCCAAGCTGCTACTCAAGCTATATTTTACGGTTATGTATGTCAGGTTTTCCAGGAGTTTCCGGAAGCCGGAAGCAAGAAAGGCGGAACTTTCCCCTTCCGGGGGCAGAAACGCGTTTTTAGAGCAATATTTTTGTAGCTGTTCTACTTTAGCATTTTTTTAAGGTCTTTGGTTATCTAAAACCACGTTTTTAGAAAGATTTATGTAGTTTTCATCTGTTAACCTTTTTTGAGCCGATTTTTATCTCTAAAATGCGCTTGGGTTTTTTAGTTTATAAAGCCGAGGAACATGTCGCTGAAAATTCGGGTATAACGATTCATTTTTTATAAATACTTTAAAGGATTTTTGAAAGTTTTTTTAGGTTTGAAAATTCATTTTTCAGGCTTGTGTCGACGTATTCTTTTTCCTAAAACCCATTATTTATATCCAACCCTAATATCTCTTGGTTTTATTAATATTTTCCTTTTTTCAGACGATAGCCGTTACAGTACGACGCATTGCGGAGTGACAGTTCGCGAGTTGGCCGAGAGTTGATGGTGGCTGGAAGTGGGCAGCAACGACGGGATGCGATGGATCGGATTTCCGCCAGACATTGCCCGAGTTGCCCGGTCAATTGGGGGTCGGATCCCCAAATGCCTGCCATCCGGGGGTCATCACAGATACTGTGGCATGTGCCGGGGTATTGCCCAATTTGGGGTCTGGCTTCTGTTAACTAAAATAAAAAACTTATTTGAAGTTATCAAACCAATAAAACATTTTTTCTGTTCTGGACTGTTAGCGGGGGGCTTTATAGTATTTTTCGCAGCTTTTAATTGCTAAATAGTGATAAAAATTAGGTAATCTTACAAAAATATGACATTTTATTGGCAAAATCAAATATTCTAGCATTTTTATGACTATTTAGCAGCTAAAAACCGCTAACAAACAACAAAGTACTAACATTTTTCTAGGTGGTTATCGGCTAGAAAAAGGTGCGCATTTTACGGTATTGTTAGCAGTTTTTAGTCGCTAAATATTCATTAAAATCAGGACATTTCATAAAAATGTGACTGTTTTAGCAAAATCAAAAGTTTTCTGAAGTTGTAATAGATTTTTTCGGAACTTTCTAGACTTTAATAGGCCGTAATAGCTATACAAATCGTGCGGGAGAATTGGGTGGACCCTATGGGCGATTGACCATAGTCAGATGTGCCCCCCCCGCTAACAGTCCAGTACCTTTTCGGATATAACAAAATCCAAATCACAAGATTTTGAGGCCTTTAACCCGACAAATCCAACTTTTCGACCTCAATTCGCGGATTGGATGAAATGAGGGGTAGCCCAGAAGAAGCAGAAGTCTGGCGATGAGACATCAATTGCCAGCCTCCGTCGCAATATAAACAATCGAGTGGGCTTGAGGGCAATAGGGGAATGGAATGAGAGTAACTGTGGAGGTATTGGAGGCTTCTCATATGGAAACCCAACAAAACAAAGTGTCGATGAGTCAACACGCTGAATAAAAAAATAATTAATTCCAGAAACGAACTGTGTGCAATTGTCATGAAACAGCTGCAAGCTGTTAAGGAACGTTTTTTTGTCGGGTTGTAATCGCTTAGAAATTTTGGTGTTAAAGCCGACTTGCAGAGCTTAGGCTTGGGGTTAAGCTCAGGCTTCGCTGGGGTTTGGCTTGGCCTAGGCATGGCTTAGGTTTGGCTTAGGCTGGCCTTAGGCTTCCTTAGGCTTAGACTTGGGCTTACGCTTACTCTTAGGTTAGGCTTGAGCTTGGGATTTGGCTTAGGCTTGGCTTCGGCTTAGGTTTTTGATACAATCTCGTCGAAAACCAGCGTTAATTTGGTCGAAAATGTTAATTTTTTGTGTTTTTGCCAAAAATGTAAGTTTTTACTTTTAGTACTACAGGGTGCGTCAAAAAAAAAAAGCCAAGTTTGCACCGAAATAACTCGCTCATATTAGAGAATCGAAGGTACGTTACCATGCCAGAATGCTTAAATATGCTGGGTATGAAGATTTAACACAAGTTGATTTTTTCGATTTTTGGCGACGTATCAATACAAATGACACCCGAAAAATGTGCGCTCCGGAAAAATGTGCGTTCCGTTTTCCGGGCTGTCTGGTGGTGCAAAAATTCTAGTTTCTGCAAGGTTAGCAGCTGTATGTAGTAGTTGACAGCTGACGAAGTTTCAGAATTTTTGAAGGTGTGGTTCAGTTTTTAGGAACGCGAGAACTTTTACATCGAGCCGCTGCGAGAATAACTGATTAGAAAAAATGGTAAGGTAAAAGGAAAAAGAACTGGTTACGCAACACCTAAGTGACTTATGCTAGCTTGAGAAAATATTAAAAATATTTTTGGAAAAATTAAATTTTTGACTTTTTCCATGACCCCCTATTCATGGATTTTTTGAGGTCTCAAAATCGGACTTTCGAATAATCTTTTAAAAGTTTCGAACGGAATCCGGTGTTTTTTATTGTTACGCCCAAGAAGCTGCCAAGTTTCGTTATCAGCTATAAAATATTGGGCTAGGAAAGCCGACTAAATGGTAGTTATATCGGGCCATCAAAATCGACGAATCGTGTTGGTTTGCGAAACGAACTTTATTTGTATTGAGTTTAATAGACCACCCAACATTTGAAGCATATTTTTAAAAAAAGCTACGTTGTGGGCGCAACTACTGGAAATTGTTTCACAATTTTCGGCCCAGTGGTTTGCAAGCAGGAATTTGTCGAAAACTGGAAATATGGCAAGTTTAAGGCTGTGTAAAACGAAGTTCCGTGCTCGCAACCTCGAAATTTTTTTTTTCAAAATTAAGCTAGTAGAGTTAAACAAGACTCACCTATTAATATATTTTTTTTTAGTCAGTATCTTTTCAAAAAGTTATTTGAAATTCGTTTTTGAAGCACACTGATTTCCGGCTTTCGACTATTTTGACCATCATTATTGAGCGAAATGTTTTAGGATTTTATTATTATGCATCATTTCATAGAAGCTTCACTTTGATGCATAAGTTTTCATGATTTCCGCTATTCGAGAAAAAACTGTTTTTGGGGGCGGATGAAAAGTCGGGCTCTGCGCCTGATTTCAGTGTCTCGGTCGTATCTCGGGAAATTGCCATCAGAAATGGCTAATTTTTTGCACGTACACTCGTGAGCACCCAGGCATTCAGTTGGATTTAAAAATAATTTAATTTATGGTAATTCGTGCTGCATGCTAAAATGCGCTCCGCCAGGGTTACGGTGGTTCAGAATTTAGCGTTTTTCAAGTCATTTCACCAGGGAATCGTTTTGTTTCTCTTCGTATAGCGCGTAAGTTCTATTTTTGGACCGATATGGCAGAGATGTTTATGATTCTGGCGGACTACGTTGAGATTTGGGGCGGGCATGTGATATTTGATGGTTATATGGCCCACACTGCGGAAACGCTGATTCAAGAGAAATTTATTCTGGCCAAAGGATGTGATCGAGCAATTAAATCGAACCATTATAATAAAAGCAACCAATGTTCATTTCTTTCTATATTTAACCCGGGCTCCATATTGGCCCTCGATATTACTTCCGACATTTTTGATAACGAGAGAGAGCCGTTCGGGCAGTTGTGCAACGGCCGCCCGGATCTGTTCCTCGGGGAGGTCTGCCCAGGCCTGTACCAAAGCCTTGACAAAGGCTTGTTTCCGTTCATTAAGCGTCTGATTGCCGTCGAGATTTGCCGTCAGCTCCCGAACTCTCCGCTCGTGCATACTCCAAATTGCATAATCCAATGGGTTAAGGTCTGGTGAGTTTGGAGGATACCTGAACGCCATTAACGGCTGTTAGGAACATATCATACTCGGAACGGTCAAGGTATCGAATTCCCTTGTCGATCAGCAGCTGATGCGTTCGGGCATCGTTGTGTGCCGGAGCCCAATCGTGCTGATAGACGAAATCAGGGCCCACCTCATGTTGAGCGTTTTGGATGATGTGATCGTTGAGGAAATACCTAAGACGAATGAACGTTTTTGTCAACCCGATTACCTATATTCGCGCCCCCCGATCGTCTGTCCCTGCTCCATGATCAGCAACGGCAGCTTTTTACCATCACCACTGATCCCGCCCCAGTAAGTAAAGCCGACACCTTTTGGCTTTCCATGTGGCAAATCTAACAGCTGTTCTTCAACCTCGCGCTTGGTTTTCGCCTTTGAGAAAATGTGCTGGTGGGCCTTGGGCGGGTCAATGTGGATGAATTTTTCATCCGAGAAGACAATTTTCCTCAAGCTAATTTCTCCGGAGTCAAGCGCCCGCAGGAAATTGCTGGCACAGGTGAGACGCTTTTCCTTGTCCTTGTCAGTCAAGCGTTGTACCGGTTGCTACGCAAAATCTTTACATGAAAATCTCAACTAACCATTTTGTACCGCTTGTAGCCAAGCTCCTTGCACAACCGCCGGACTGCAGGTTCTGTTATGCCAACAACGGATGCTAGTTGACGCCCCGATATTCTGGGATTGAAGGCAATAGCTTTCTCGAGATCTGCCATATGAAGATTCATTAAAGTATTAGGACGGCCCGAACCCTGAAAGTCAGACGTGTGTCTTATACTCGGATAAGGCCTACCGCCTTTCTCGTCGCTCCTTGACCCGCCCGAACCCGATAGACAAAATTTTTAAGATTGGTCCTCTTGATCAAATATCCGCGCTGCCTAGCCCAATCAAAAAGTTGCTCGACAGTCATACCATCTTCGACGAGCAACGTGGCTGCGATTTTCTCCTCCTTAGTCCAGGCCGATAGTGGGACATATTTTCCGCGTCCCTGAAATTTATGACTTCGTTTTACAAATGGCTCTACCCTAGTTGATGCGGCTAGATAGGCGGGGATCTGCCCCATAGAGCTTGCAGCGCTGGTCTCCGGTGCGGAGCGGTGCCGCTTCCGAACAACAACGGTTTCCGTCTCATCGTCATCCTCAAGAATTTCCACACTATGCCTTTTTCTGGCTTGAACTGCCGCTAAACGAAACGTGAAAATGTAATTAATATGATGTTCCAAACCTGGCAAACATAAATCGTCTTCCGTATCCATTGCCTCCTCCGTCCCGGACGTGTCTTGGACGTCTCCTGCTGCAGTAGCCTTCCGCGCTTCACTGCCAGCGTCCTCTTCCCCCTCATTTTCGTCGGATTCATCTTCCTAATTAAAAACTCTCTTTGATTCGTAGAAAAACTACCTCATCCACACTATCACACATTGCATAGCCAACATCTAGATCATCCTCGCCTATCTGAAATTACTCCTGCACGGTCACACGAAGTCGTAATCTACCTTAGATGAGTCATATACCTTCATATGTTCAAGCTCTTCTTCGGTCAAACGACGGGGTGATGAGCCGGGCCGTATTTTCTGAACTTATTAGCTTGATCAATGATTGCAAACACCTGGATATAATCGGCCACTTTTGTACTCAATCGCCTAGGGGACCATCTCGATAGTTTTTTTTGGAAGCTGAATGGCGTTGTCCTCATTTTCACACTACAAATAAAAATTACGATTTTGATAATTAAGCTAAAACCCTTTTTCCTTGACTTGGGGCGCTTCCTCAGGGAACTCGAAGTTTTTCGAGATATACAGCGTGCCACTAAGAATATTCTCTGGAAGTGCATAAAGGCTTACTCAGTGAGCGGAGTTGGCAAAACACGTGTCGAACGGATTGGCCGAGTGCCCGACGTGCTGGCCACGTTTTTGCTTAGTTCTTCCGGGGTGCTGGTTCCCGATGGCTTATAGTTAGTCGCAGCGAATCGCATCTGGTCCTTCCAAAGGACCTGTTCTTCCTCAGGGTGCCTCTTCAGGAACTCCTCCATCGCGCGGTCATTCTCCGCTCGACGTAGTTCCTCGGTGCGCAATTTCTCTTCTTTGCGTCTAATCCTCTATGTATAACCGGCAACTTTTCTTACTTGGCACGCTCTCGAAAAAAATCATCACACCGCCGACTCCATTCGTCTGCGACTCTGCGCCGTTCCGCAAATTGCGCTTCTCTAAAGCTTTTCCAAATAGATTCGGAATTTATGAATACAAGGCTCACTCCGAATCCACGGGCGGAGAATAGCGCTCCCGTTCTTTTCGAAACCAGAATGGATCATGGCTCTCCAAGCAACGGTTCCTGACCTTAAAGAAACCTGTTTTAAAAGCAAGATAATTTCATGTGGTTTGCTTAATTCCTACCTCTTGAGGTTCCTCAGAATGACCGTAATCAAAATCTTCGGTCCCAACAGCACTGACCCCAAACTTAATATGATTGATACTATATGACCTTCGGACTAAATTTGACGCACCTGCCTTTCTGCTGATGCCGATTTGACTGAGGTGGAAGGCTGTGAAGGCCGAATCTCTGGCGTCTTCGGCTTCGGTGGAATCTCTGGTCCGCTTTCCTAAAATATATTATGTAATGATAGTTTCATAAGGAAATAGGCTATAACATATTTTACCTCTAAGCGTAGGGGAGTTGCCGGAACCTTGCTAACTCCACCAGTCCTGCGTACGGTGATGGGGCTCAGAGGGCTGACCCTGCTCACTTGGTAATTTGGGGAACTAAACAGTTCCACCAGTTGCTTGACGGTCTGGCTTTGCGGGGCATCTGACATCCTAAATCCGTCACATGATCAATTGCGTCCGCAAACAAAGCAAAAAATTCTATCGTAATTTCTGAAGCAATCTGTATGGAAGGGCTGTTTTAAAACTGATGGCACGTCTGCAAAAAGACGTGGCCCTTAATGTTGACCCGACCCGGAATGACACCCCATTCCGGCGGAGGGGGAAGGGGGCCCTTTGGAAACAGAAAAACAAAAGATTGTATCTCCCAATGGGCACCCAATGGCGAACCCGAAGGGTCATCAAAAAAAGAAACATTTAGCGTTAAATGTGAAAGCAAAATTGCAAACATGAGCTGTACAAATTGACCATCATAAGTTATCAACTCCCTAGGAAACGAATATTAGTCTATTTCCCAACCTTCATAAAAAATGTGAAACTTCCCGTCTGGCAGATATAGAATACATACAGCATAGAATATCGGTCCAAAAATAGAACTTACGCGCTATACGAAGAGAAACAAAACGATTCCCTGGTGAAATGACTTGAAAAACGCTAAATTCTGAACCACCGTAACCCTGGCGGAGCGCATTTTAGCATGCAGCACGAATTACCATAAATTAAATTATTTTTAAATCCAACTGAATGCCTGGGTGCTCACGAGTGTACGTGCAAAAAATTAGCCATTTCTGATGGCAATTTCCCGAGATACGACCGAGACACTGAAATCAGGCGCAGAGCCCGACTTTTCATCCGCCCCCAAAAACAGTTTTTTCTCGAATAGCGGAAATCATGAAAACTTATGCATCAAAGTGAAGCTTCTATGAAATGATGCATAATAATAAAATCCTAAAACATTTCGCTCAATAATGATGGTCAAAATAGTCGAAAGCCGGAAATCAGTGTGCTTCAAAAACGAATTTCAAATAACTTTTTGAAAAGATACTGACTAAAAAAAAATATATTAATAGGTGAGTCTTGTTTAACTCTACTAGCTTAATTTTGAAAAAAATTTCGAGGTTGCGAGCACGGAACTTCGTTTTACACAGCCTTAAACTTGCCATATTTCCAGTTTTCGACAAATTCCTGCTTGCAAACCACTGGGCCGAAAATTGTGAAACAATTTCCAGTAGTTGCGCCCACAACGTAGCTTTTTTTAAAAATATGCTTCAAATGTTGGGTGGTCTATTAAACTCAATACAAATAAAGTTCGTTTCGCAAACCAACACGATTCGTCGATTTTGATGGCCCGATATAACTACCATTTAGTCGGCTTTCCTAGCCCAATATTTTATAGCTGATAACGAAACTTGGCAGCTTCTTGGGCGTAACAATAAAAAACACCGGATTCCGTTCGAAACTTTTAAAAGATTATTCGAAAGTCCGATTTTGAGACCTCAAAAAATCCATGAATAGGGGGTCATGGAAAAAGTCAGAAATTTAATTTTTCCAAAAATATTTTTAATATTTTCTCAAGCTAGCATAAGTCACTTAGGTGTTGCGTAACCAGTTCTTTTTCCTTTTTTACCTTACCATTTTTTCTAATCAGTTATTCTCGCAGCGGCTCGATGTAAAAGTTCTCGCGTTCCTAAAAACTGAACCACACCTTCAAAAATTCTGAAACTTCGTCAGCTGTCAACTACTACATACAGCTGCTAACCTTGCAGAAACTAGAATTTTTGCACCACCAGACAGCCCGGAAAACGGAACGCACATTTTTCCGGAGCGCACATTTTTCGGGTGTCATTTGTATTGATACGTCGCCAAAAATCGAAAAAATCAACTTGTGTTAAATCTTCATACCCAGCATATTTAAGCATTCTGGCATGGTAACGTACCTTCGATTCTCTAATATGAGCGAGTTATTTCGGTGCAAACTTGGCTTTTTTTTTTTGACGCACCCTGTAGTAAAAACAGTGTGCAAAACCACACCTTTTGACTAAGTAAAATTGGTCCCCCCGATAACGCAAAAGCACCCATTTGGCATTTAGCCCCCGACAACTTGATGGCCCACAGACTCTTCCTCCTGCTCGCTAATCTACTGACGGCTCAAATGTGGTGCTCCTCCTCCCCGCTCTGCCCCGCTTCGGCGATAATCCCCCCTACCGTATCCCTTGCCATGTGTGTGGATGCTGCCCGCCTCCATTTCCCCGGCTGGTGGTGGCCGCCCGAGGCCATCCCCAGCCAGCCAACCATCCATTGACCCCCCCTAATAGTTGGCAGTCGTTTGGAAAGGAGTGGCTCTCCTTCTCTCTGTCTCTGTTTCTAGCAATGGCCGATCTGAGGTATGTATACATTTTTGCTGCTAATAAATAAATAAATAAATATTTACACATCCAGGAGGGCTCTCCGCCCTCTTCGTGTCGTTTACAAAGCGGGTAAGGGGGTGCCGCCAGCAGTCACACGAAACAACCTGACGCTTCTAGAGAAATTCTAGTGTTTGATTGGAATTCCATCGATAATCCCGACACCCGAAATGCCGACGGCCAAAATCCCGACAAATTTTCGGCTCTAGTTTGAGTAACACGCCTTTTAAACAGCTTTTTTGCACGCCGGGATTGTGGCTGTCCGGATTTTGGGTTTTTCCGTTTTAGCGACATCTTGAAACCGTGACTACGTATTTACGCGTACCTAGAGAAATTCTAGCGTTTTTGGAATTCCAGCGATAATACCGACAGCGAAGATGCCGACATCCATAATACCGACATATCTTTGCGCTAGCTTAAGTGCCATTTTTTTCAAACAGCTATTTCCCACCTTGGGATTTGTGCCTCTCCGGAATTTGATTTTCGGGATTTTGGCTGTCGGGGTTTTGGTGTTTTCACGTCATAACGCAAATAGGGTATTCATTGCATCGTTGCAGTGATTTCAACTTTATCCACCACCATCACCCGGAATCGCCCAAGGATGAGGACGAGGTATGAGCTCTTCTACGAGTTAATTCGGTTTTTTTAGCCGATGCCACCATCTCGACCCCATCACCGTCGCCATCACACCAACGGACGTGGCAAGCGGCAGGAAAAGCCGCCGTTCAGGTTTGTGCCTTTTGTTCTGAGTCCAGAAATGCCTGTAACTTAATAGGAAGTATTTCGTAAAGTGTTTAAGTAAGAAATAACTCTATTCCAACTAGAAAAGCCATCTAAAAACTTTCAAAATGCGAAAAATTAATAAAAAACGGCAGTTTTTGACCGAAAAATCGATATTTTTGGTATTTTTCAATACAAATTCGTAAAGTTTCTACGTTTAGGAATAGGAAAAAACAGCTTAGAAAACACTTCCGGGATTCAGAATTGAAAAATCCGCTCCTAAAAAAGTTGTGGCCCCCGATAATGCTAAAGAATCTACATTTTGCAAAAACAAAACTCGAAGAGGACACGGCTTTTGAATAATTGAATTCCGTCCCCCTAATTCGATGATTTCAGCTACATCTCCTTGATCGCGATGGCCATTTCAAATAGCCCGGAAAATCAGGCGACCCTGGCCGAGATATATTCCTATCTACAGGTACCTTTTCCGAAGCACGTAATTCTTATATCTCTAGGAAAACTACGATTTCTTCCGCGGCGACTACGTCGGATGGCGCAACTCGATTCGCCACAATTTATCCCTGAACGATTGTTTCGAGAAATTGCCGAAAGAAGCTGGAGATCGCGGTCGGAAGGTAGGCAACGCGCTATCCAATTTAACTTCATAGAGTACCCTCCCCCCCCCAAAAAAAACACAACGCAACTTCCAGGGCCATAAGTGGCGTATCGCACCGACGTGCGAGTTTATGCTGGAGGAGGGGAATTTCCGGCGGCGTTCAAAGGGGTACAAGGCCCGCAAGAGATATCCCTTCAACGAGCAGGTACGCTTTTTCGCTTTAACATTTTTACAATTTACAATTTCGCGCGATGCGCGTGGGCGATGTTTTTGGGGGCGTCAAATCTGAATCGATACGCTGAAATCGGATCTGGGCGCGCTGCTGGCTCGTAAAAATATAAACAGTGCAAATGTGGGGGGTATTATGTTTTTGGGGCTGGCTTGGGGCTAATGGGAAGGTGATGGAGAAAAGTAGGTTCTTTCGCACTATCGGGGGGGGGGGGTACTCTTTTTCTTAGGATTCAAATAGAGATAGTGGAACTGTTTTTAAATAGTTTTTAGCATTCCTAAACGGAAAAACTCCACAACATTTTATTTAAAAATGCCCAAAATATAGATTTTTCAACGAAATTTTTGACCAAATTGTCGACTTTTCAACGTTTTTTAGATAGTTTTTCTAGTTGAAATATAGTTATATTTTCCTGAAAGGACTATTAAAACACTTCCTATGAAGTTTCTAGACATTTATAGACTCATACAAAAAAGTTCGCCCCCTCATTAATGCATAAGAACCCTTATTTTATTTGCCTTACCAAATAGCTGAGACCAATTAAAAACCAAAACATATTAAAGTACGAACATTACAGTCGGGGCAGTTCGAATACCCGAGCACCACTACCCTAATCCCGCCGATCGCCGACTCGATCACCTTCCAGGGCCAAGCGGCCAACACTGGGCTCGGTGGGTATCAAGCTTTAAATTTAAATCACGCACTTATTTAGACGATTCAACGTCATCTAACGAAAATGAGCAGCCCGGCTTTGCCCTCAACCAGCCCGCCGATGTGAATCAGGAAGAAAATCCGGCAGGTGAGCAAAAGCAAAAGTATACGCTTTACCATTTCAACAAAATGACGCTAAAACTAGTTTATATTTAGGCTATGGATATTTCCAACAACCCATGTGGCCCGTTTACGATCCCATGTACTATGGTGAGCAAGAGGAGGCCATTTCTAAAAGATCCCCAAGATTTAGGAGGGGCAGCTGGCGGCTATCCGAATGTTTATCAAAATTGGTCGGACCCGACGTTGATTGGTAAATTATTAATACGATCTCCTGAAGTATGAGTTCCAGCTATGCAGCCTGTCATGCTCCCCACCGGGCTCGACCCACAACAATGCTGGACATTCTCAAATCCGGAATTCGTTGTTGATCCAAATAATGTAAGGCTAACGGATTCAGGCTGAGTATCAAACTTTTTTTTTAGATTCAACCTGTGATGTACCCGCTCCCCGAGCAGATGGCTGAGGCGCCTGTCCAGGTAAGATTTTTAGCAAGGAGTATATCAAAATGTCGGGTTATTAGGAAGGAGAGCCGTTCTTGGTCGGCGAAGAACATGCAGACTGCCATCTCCCCAAATCCCTCCCCCATGCTCAAGAAATGTGCACGGATGAACAAATCACGAATTTAAATTTGTATACAGATCAATTCCAAGGCTATCACCCAAACCCCGTTGCGTATCAAATTGGGGATTATCCGGTTGCAGAGGTAGACTGTTAGATGCCCACTGCCCTCCATATTCCAGAAAACTAGTCCCTTTTTCATGTATCAACCCCAAAACAGCGTATGTGATTCGACAATGTGCCTTCGCTTCGCAATAAAGAATATTACTTGCTAGATGCGCATCTTAAATAAAGTTGTTTCCCCAGCTGCCGTGTAAACCTGGAAGGTCCATAAAAACCGTCCAAAATTTATTAATCACCCAAATGATCCCCAGAAGAGGGCGGTGGTGGTGAAAGGCGTATCTCAATAAATTACGATTGGGGAAAATACACAGCGGGAAACACGATCGAAGACACTTCGCGAATAGAGCAAGGTCAAATCACAATTTGGGAGGGTTTTGGAACTAAAGGCCATTCGTATTACCGTATTGCAATGTACTAGAAATTTCGTCAAAGGCCTAATCACATACATCTGGATACGTGTGCACCAATGGACTATCTCACGATCGAGCAAAGGTATGTATTCATATAACCTAGTTTTTTTCATCAAAAGTGGAAATGGTACATTTAAGTGCGACATAGAGAGAGAGGGATCTACAAGAAAGGTGCAAAAATTCAGAAGTTACGCCATCGACCATAAAGGTAAAGAACATACGTAACGAGCACAACAATAAGGCATCTGGACGGCTTCCCGTTTTGAGAGAAAACAGACACGGAGCGTTCCGCGAACAATCGGCTTACATTAACCAAGGATAGAGATTTGGGGAGCTTTCTCATTCTTCTTCATGCCGTTAGCTGGAATTGCAAACAGTGAGCAAAACATAAAGCTAGTAACCTGGCTTGCCGTTCTGGCCTGGACCCTGTCGCTTATCTTTGTTGTTGTTATTATTCTTATTGCGAGGGCGAGCAGCAATGAGACCATTGGAGGCACCGCCGGCCACGACAGACGCGTCGATACCGGAGGCGGCGAGTTGAGCCTGAATCAAATAAGTTTGAATTTAATCCGAACACAAACCTGCATGATTTTCTGGAGGTTCTCCAGCTGTTCCGGGGTTAGACCATCAGAAGAGACCTGTAGCCCTCCAGCATTGATCTGGGAGAGCGGCTTGGCAACGACGGCCTGCTTCTTTTCATCTAAAACCAGGATCAATCCGCTATGATTTAGAATTACCAATAGAAACGGGCGAGATGTGTCCACCGACGCCGGAATCGTGGTCAGAGCTGATGATGCTGGAATGAGAGGCTGCGTGACGGATCGGCGACGGCGAAGCTGCCGCGAATGAGGAGAACTGCGTCCCGGTGCGTGTAACCTCGGGAACTAAAATAAAACTCTAAAAAGTTACAACAATCCGTACCGCTGCCAAACTTGTTCAGCGCATCGAAAAGCTGGGACATGTCGTACGTGAAAGCAGAAGCGCTCGCAAGCTGTTGTTCGGCTCGGCGAGCGTTGGCAAAGGCTTTTAGATCGCCAGCAACACCGGCGTCACCACGTACGGCTCCAACACGGCTCAGCAGGGACTGCAAAAAGCTGCGGTAATAAAGAAGCTACAATGTAAAGGCTTACAAAGCAATTTTCGAAAGTTCGAAGGACAAGAGGCAAAAAATACCTTTGAGGTGCTCTTGTTATCCTGGATCAGCTTCTCAGCATCTTGTTGGCTGCGTTGGAGTGCGTCCAAAAGAATCTTCTCACGGTTGGCAAGGGCTTGCCGGATGGCGTCAAAGGTCGACCGGATCTCCTTATTGCCCCGCTTGCATTCTTGTGTGAATGCGGCCAGGATTTGGGAAGATTCCTGAACGATTAATATTACTTGCCAATGCGTAGATAATAACCTTGTCGTGAGTTTTCAGCCACTCAGCATCGCCGCCGTTTTCTTTATTTGCTGCGGGTGGGGCGTGGTAGCCGTTGGATTGGGCTGGCTGCTTCTTTGGTTGAGATTTCATGGCGACGGACGGCAGGACAGTCTCCGTTTTAGCTAAACGGCGATGAATTGATAATTATAACAAGAGTTACAGGAAACGGAAGGAGTCTCGGTGGTGGTGGAGGCGGTGTCCGCGGCCACCTTCTTCTTTTGGGCGCGATTCTTCTGCTTCTTGGTGGCGGCCGAGGATTCCCATTCGTCAAGCACAGCGGTCCGATCTAAAATATTAACTTTAGAAAATTCGTAGTTTTAGAATCAATGCGTAAAAAAAATTTCAAAATTCAACACACTTTCGCACAAAGCTTGGATGGTTTTCTCGACGTCCAGATCGAACGAGTGAAGGGCCATCACGATCTCGTTCTGGCCGATGCCACGCACGACCTCCTTTACCTTGGCGATCTTCTCGTTCATCTCCTTCTTGTCGACGGGTGCCATCTTCTAAAGAAATAAAATTTAGCATGAATTTAGCGTAAAAACACGGGGGAATAGAAGATCCAGCCATCAAAAAGAAGAGGATTTTGCAGGGATCAATCTTAGACATTATTTTCCATGTTCAAATACACAAAACAGTCGACTTTTCTGCAGCACTAATCAAATTAGGTCGAGATTTGAGGTCAGGATTTCTCGAGTTGGCATACGCGACGCGTCCGCCACACTACTAAGTTAGAGTCCAGACGGCGTTACGGTTCGTGTCGCGGCGGGACCACGAGCATTTCACCGGGCCACTGAATTTTCCCCCACCTCATTTTATTTTTCGCAGAGCCGAAATCTTTCAAATTTTCGATTTTATTTCCATTTTTTTGCTTTGGCCTTGCTGTTCAACTAATTTTTTATTTTCAGGGTAAAGATGAGTAAGGTCAGCCGTGAAGCTCTCCTAGAAACCGTCACCGAGGTCCTCAAGGCCTCGCAAGAGAAGAAGAGGAAGTTCCGCGAGACGATCGAGCTCCAGATCGGCCTCAAGAACTACGACCCCCAAAAGGACAAGCGTTTCTCCGGTTCCATCAGGTAGCTTCGACCAGTATTACTGGTATGCCATTTATTTGGCAGGGACTCTCACCCAGGGTCTGTAAATCTTGGGGAGGCTATATGCCTAAACAAAAAACGCGTAAGCTTTATTTTGTGGGCTGGGGAGTCGTCGTTTCGGGGGATCATAGTTTTCTTTTAGGCTGAAGTACGTTCCCCGCCCCCAGACCAAGATCTGCGTGCTCGGAGACCAGCAGCATTGCGATGAGGCCAACGCCGCCGGAATCCCGTGCATGAACGCCGATGATCTGAAGAAGCTGAACAAGAACAAGAAGCTCATCAAGAAGCTCGCCAAGGGATACAGCGCTTTCCTCGCCTCGGAGTCGCTCATCAAGCAGATCCCCCGTATCCTCGGACCCGGCTTGAACAAGGCCGGCAAATTCCCCTCGGTCGTTTCCCACGGAGACTCGTTGACCGCCAAGGTTGAGGAAGTCAAGGCCACCATCAAGTTCCAGATGAAGAAGGTAAGCATTTTGCAATCGTCTTTATTCTTTCTGTTTTAGGTTCTCTGCCTCTCCGTCGCTGTCGGACACGTCGAGATGAGCCCCGAAGAGCTCGTCAGCAACATCTCTCTGTCCGTCAACTTCCTCGTTTCGCTCCTCAAGAAGAACTGGCAGAACGTGCGATCCCTGACCGTCAAGTCTACCATGGGACCACCCCAGCGCCTCTATTAATTTTTTTTTGTTACTTGTTTTCAATAAATTGTTACTTATTGAAATGCCTCTCAAAGCTACAGAGAAGTCATTATCCACAGACATAGCTCGGATATACGGAGTCATTGGTATTCCGTTTAGAATGCAAGCTGAAGGGACGCCATCACAGGTCGTTGTTGTGGTTGAAAGCGGGACATCTGTAGGGGTCCTTTTCTCATAGAAATTCTTGTTAGATCATTGATGGTTTGGAGAGTTGTGCAACGGCTTCAAGCAGTCGAGACCGGCTCGCTTTTGACAATAAGTACTTCAAATGTGAAGTCGGTATCCTGCAGTTTTCGGATGGAGCCGCTTTACGTGATTGGTTTGGGGCGACTAATCAATCGCCATTTATCGGCGCCCTCGTAATAAGGTCGGTCGGGAACCGGCAACGCGTATATGTTTTTAGGTTCGGGGAAAACGACTCTGTTGCGCATATTCAAGAATTGATTAACGCGAACTGTTTCTACGATGCTGAACAAATCGTTAGTTGGCGGGGTTTCAGTTACGTTTTTTTTGCAGTACCTTGTTATGGACGCTGCAACGACGATATCTCCAGTTTTCCAACAAATTACCGGCATTATAAATCAACATTGTATTGAAACTATTGTGTTGGATCCGACGGAGGTATGTTATTTCTCGTTCTTATGTTTCTTTTCCAGGAGATGATTGAAGAAGCCGAGGAAAACTGTGAAAAATATGGACTACCCCGTCTTTATGAAGCCCTGCAAATCATCGAGTGGCCCGCAAAAACGTTTGATCTTTCCTTAATCTTGACTGGATTTAGGTTAAAAGGAGGTGTAACGAATTGGGGCGCGCAGGCATCATCCACACAATTTTCCTGCAGAAAGGTTTGTTGAATTTGTATCGGCGGCGGAACTTCGATCTTTCAGGGCGCTGACGAATTCGGAGATTGGGTGCGATTTACGGAAGACGATGAATAAAAACATTTATCGGTATATGAAGTATGAATGATCACGGGGAATCTGACTAGAAAAACGATCTGTGAAAGGGGTGAAGGTGAAAGTAATCCCATTTACGATCCAATCCTTGAGCTGGGGGTGAATAAGTTTGTTTTCGAATACTGTGGCCAGATTGGTCCTAAGTGGGTCGAAATCGAAGAGCGATAATAAACGACGAATGATCACAGTCGGGTTGAGGGAGCTTGAACCAATGTACATACTGAGTGCTCGGACGAAGATCCAGCGTTATTTACATGCGAGAGGCAAGGAGTAGGCCGTGATGCACAAAAATTACATGGCTCGGCATATGACGAGGGAATACGTGACCGTAGGAGGAGGACCCAGAGAAAGAAGAATTCGTGCAAGGAAATGTCATTAAATGATTACCGAGTAGTGCAAATGGGTGAGAAAGAGAGCAGTTACATATAAGAAGGGCGGGGAATCCCCATTATTAAAATCGTCACTCAATCATCTCCAGGATGCTCCGGGCAGCAATTCTTACGCTTGAACCAGTCGTCAATGCACCTAATAAATAGGAATAGAATGTTTTCAAAAAATGCCTACGTCTTGTGATAAATGCAGAGGCATGGCAGGCGGGCAATCGTTTCTCCCTGCAGCATCTCGTCAAGGCAGATGGTACATTCGCCCTTGTCCTCGGTGAGCACGTCATCTGAAAAGAATGTATTCTGGCAACGGAAGTGTTATTACCGTTATAAGTGATTTTCGGACGGGTGAAGCACATGACGAGATGAACGTCGACTTCATCGGAGGGGATTCGCTTCTGGCACACCGGGCAAGTGACGTCTTCTGAAATAAATATTTGGAAGCCGACGATTAATATGATACCTAGCATGAAAAGGCCCATGGGACGACGGAGAACATGGACACGCTGGTTGCGCGTGCGCGAATTTGAGGTGGAGGTGCTGCCGTGATGGCTGTGGTGCCTGAAAAGAAATTGCTCGATCAAAATTGAAGAGCTAACCTAACGGCGCCCTGACGAGGCCCAGACGGTGGAAGGTGTGCCCTCGAGGGCCCGGCCTGTTCCTCGTCAGAATCATCGGAAGAGATCACCCGGCTTGCACGTAGCGTCTGAAAAGCAGGGTAAACTGCACCAATTGAAAATAGAACCTGAAAAATATCTGCAGTTGAGATCACCGAGCGGCTAGGTCCACGAGGAGCAGGACGTTCACCGGCGAGGGCGGACGAGGTGCCGACGGAATTTGACCTAAAATATTTTATTACGTAAAACCTAAGATTTCATCGGATCAAATTACAAGTAATTCAGCCAAAATCAGTACCTTGGTCGATCCTCGCCGCCCACCGTGGATTGGCGTCCGCCCATTCTGACGGCTCCACGCCACGCTGAAAAAGAATTTTTGAAAAAGTTTTTCAAATAAAAATCCAGAAACGAGGAAAAGCAAGGTCAGACTGCAGGTTCATTTTTTTACACCCAAGGGACGATCATCCCCAAACCCCGTTTCGCTGCTCGCTTTTGCCAGGCTATTCATGTATTTTCCTTTGCTGACGATGATGAATTACACGCGCTTGGGGGTCAACCGGGCCAGGTTAACTAGCTGATAAAGCGATCATGAGACGGATCGGCCGTTCTTGCCGCTCACACCGCGCCGCACGGCCACACCGCTACGCGACCGTAGTATTGCACGGGCGGCGAGCCCGGGACCGCAAATCTGCTCCCGATGGCACCATGTAAAAGGGTAATAAAAGTTATTAATTTAGCGACGATTTATCATTATGTCCATTTAAAACTGGCAGCGCGCAAGGGGCTCGATAGAATCATCTTTCTAGAGAGTTTACATTTTATTGAAAGGTAGCAAGAAAGAAGGGAAGTGAATAATGTCGGGGGAAATCCGACTACAATTTGTAAAAAAGAGACTTTTCCCAGAAAATAATTTGTAATTCCATTCTACAACTATGACGGATATTGCTCTTATAGTAGTTAAGCGGAATTAATTTTAGGCATAAAAATAAATTTTTTCCAAAATTATCGACGAACTAGCCGCCTTTTTACTCTTGAAAACGCAGTAAGTATCTAGTTTCTTCCGGAAATCTCCTTTAGTCCCACCCATTGCCGAGATCGTGATGTTGTTCAAGGCCCTTTGCCCCAAATCGCCGCTCGGACTTTGCCGCCGCTTTATGGGGATGAGCAACACCTTTCAGCCGGGTTTGCCAATATTCTAATCGATTAGGATCATCGAGACAGCTACGTGATTTCCGGGCACATCCCCGCTGGCGATTATCATCGGCCCCCCTTTCAGTTCCTCACCCAGATGGGGTCGACGCAGCCGTTGTGGCATAAACATAATCTCCTCGACACGTGAACGCGCCACCCGCATAAGCCCCCGGCATTTGCCCATAAGAGCCACTCACGCCACACGCGTCTAAGGGGCCCCCAATATTTGCTGCTATAGCCGTTCGCACAGCCCATGCGCTGCTTATGCCTTGCTCCTTGCGTGTTTTCCGATAACTGAACTGGTTCCGGGTTCAATTTTGATTTTTAGCCATGGATGCGACGACGGCGCTTGCAAGAGAGCGCGAATCGAGGGTGCTCTCAATTCAGTCGCACGTCGTCCATGGATATGCTGGCAACAAATGTTCCGTGCTTCCGCTGCAGGTATTTTCTTAGTTTTGAGGATCACGGCAGTTAGGAAATGGGAGCGTGCGAGCCGTGCGAAATTTCCTAATTGCCGTAAATTACCACCTTTTTTAAAAAAACGAGCCTATTTCAACGTCTGGAATTTGCCTTTTGCCTTTTGCCTTTTCGCCCCCCAGCACACCCTATCGTTCCATTTCAGCTCCACGGCTTTGACGTCGACTTTATTAACTCTGTGCAATTCTCGAACCATGCCGGTACTGTGGAGTACTTGACCCCAACAAGTAACTTTTGCACCCTCTTTGTTGTCGCGTACGCACTGTTTCTTTCCCCCTGTCGAGCTTCTGGAACGTTTGGAGTGGTTTTTCCTTGATTTACCCCTCTGTTGGCTATTCTTGCGAATCTAACCTAAAAAATAAAAAACACTACTACTTTGTTGATTGGCGCACAATTGGCCTTTTGAGTCGTTGAAAGCCATTTTTTAGGGTATTCAACGGTGCTTGGGCAAAAGCTGGACGACGTGGATTTGGCAAAACTTTACGAGGGATTGTCGACGAATCGCATCAACAATTACACGCACATATTAACGGGTTTCTCTTCTAAATCTTGCCTTTATTTTGTAATTCAGGCTACTGCGGCAATGTCAAGTTTTTGGAGAAGATCACCGACATTGTAAAAGATCTGAAGAGCAAGAATCCGGATGTGTTCTACGGTGATTGATGTAATTTTTTTTTATTTCTATTTTAGTTTGCGACCCGGTGTTGGGCGATAATGGCAGATACTACACCCCGAAGGAATTGCTGCCCGTGTACAGAGATGTGCTCATCCCACTTGCTGACGTCGTCTGCCCGAATGCCTTTGAATTGGGGTAAATATTTGAGGAGTTATCTGATCCAATTTTCAGTGAACTTACTGGCCTGGAGGTGACGACCGAGGCGGCATGTCTACAGGGTATCGATTCGCTTCATGCCAAAGGTTTTGTATTTGTCTTGGTTTTATCTTTTAGTGGCTTTTAGGAGTGAAAACGGTGGTGGTGACAAGTGGGGTTGAGGGAACACAGACGCACCTTCGCTGCTACGCCTCAAGGGCGGAAGGTATTTATTGAGAAGAAAATTTACGTAATTTTTCATTTTAGAAGGCGAATTGGATCGCTATCGTGTAACCTTCCCCCGGCTGCACGGTCAGTTCGTCGGTACGGGCGACGTCTTTGCCGCATTGCTGCTCGTCAACCTTGAGGATTCCATGGGCGATTTGGAAAAGGTAATTTGATAACTGCTTGTTTATAAACGGCTCTTTCGCATTATCGGTGGTGAGGCACCGAACTTTTTTGTCACAGTTTAAAAATGTCTAGCAGCTTAATAGGAAGTATTTTTGTTGGCTGCAATTTTTTTGATCTATTACAACTAGAAAAATATCTAAAAAATTTTGGAAAACTCGAAATTTGGTTCGAAAATAGATATTTTTGACATTAGGAACAGTAAAAAATATTTAGAAACACTTCCACCATTCATATTTGAAACAATCTGTCTAAGAAAATAATCCCACCCGACAATGCGAAAGAACCCGTTAATCTTTCCCAAAAAATCTTTCCCTTTCTAGTCATTGCGCCGGGTGCTGTCTTCGATGCAGGCCCTGATCAAGCGGACTAGCGAGCACGCAAAACGTTCGTTTTTATGACCTCGCATTCACCTAATGTTTTAGAACAAGTCGAGAAGAACCCGAATGCCATGTGCGAGCTGCGCCTCATCCAAAGCCGCCTCGACCTCCTCTGTCCGATCGATTGCCCGCAAATTATGATCGAAAAATTATAGTCTCCCAGCTAGGTTAGGATTCGATTTTTGCCTGTGATTACTTCGCCAGTTTGTTGCCACATTCCTTTCACTTACTATGGGACAATGATGAAGATTTTTTGTTAGATTTTTGGAATTGTACAGTATTTTTGAGATAGATAAATTAAGGTTGGTTGGGAGAAAGAGCAGGGCAAGAAATTCTTTTAGGTCTGTGGCCATGCTTCGTGGGCAATTTTAGCATGACCAATGGCTTCAAGCTGGAGGTTTTAGGGAATTTGGCGCGATCTGCTGGTTCTGTTGCCCCCGTTAGACCTTTGGAAATTGCGATAAGGCGCTGGGGAACCAGATTGATTCCCCGGGTTGCCGGCCCGTTTTTGTCGACTTACCTCCACGAAAGGGCTTGCCGAGTGAGCGATGGACGTCGAGTAGGTGTTTATTTCACTGGAACGCACCAAATATTGGGCGATCAACCAAAAAAACACACGGGGATATCCATGCGGGCAGACGGCGGGCCGATATTAATTTTGCCCATTCGCTTTCCCCGAAACCCAAAAATTTACCCGAAAAATAGACGCAACTCTGAATATCATCTACCGCCGGATGAGGGGCCTTTTGATGAGGATGAACCGCTGCTAGATGGTGAAGAAGAGCAGAAGACGGCCAGGTTTGGTAAGAGGATAGGAAGTGGTGAAGGTTTTCAGGAAATATTTTGTGATGGGGACGGCATTGATAGTTACGATTATTCTGCTATTCATCTCCACCGTCGCTTTTGCAGCCCTGTATTTCAATTTGGTGAGATTGGTGGGTGAGCTTGGTGTTGGCTGCTTTATATGTCATCGAATACTAATACTTAGAATTCCTTAAAAAATGGGGTACTGGACTGTTAGCGGGGAGGGGGGTAATAATGAAATTTAGGCCACTTATGTAGCTTTTAACGCGGCATTTAGGTATAGAAAATTCATAAAAAAACTAACAAAAATTTTGAAAAGTTGCGAAAAATTCCATGAAATGCCAGAATTTAAAGGGTTCGGTCTTGTTTTTAAGATTTCGAAAAATGTTGTATAATTTTTTATCAAGCAAACCGAATATAAATTGATACAAAAATACACTTTTAAATGCTAGAAATATAGGCTAGGTAGCAGGCTAGATACCTTTTGCCCACCGCTAGACCGTCCAGTACCAAAATCTGTACTAACAATTATACATGCTAATCACTATAAAATAACAATATTTACAATAGTAAACATAGTTTTGATGGAAAGCGGCCCACCTAGCAAGGTAAGAATAATTAGAAGCTGTTCAGGATCATGGCCGCCTGCCCCGATGGCCTCGTCCCTCAATGTCGGCCCTCGGAAAGTATTCATCAGCCGCCGTCGCAGCTGACAACGAGTATTGCTCGGAAATTGGAAGGTAACGCATCTAATGCTATAAAAATAATGCCAAATCTTCCAGAAATGCGATGCTAGCTGGCGGAAATGCGGTGGACGCGGCCGTGGCAGCCCTTTTCTGTGTCGGCATCATGGATTCGCATTCTAGCGGGCTGGGTGGAGGCCATTTTATGACAATATACAATGCGTAAGTATGGAAAGGTTATAAATAAACTTTGTGTAATTTAGTGCCGAGGGGAAATGCCATGCCATTGACGCGCGCGAGGTTGCGCCAAAGGCCGCCGAGGAGAAGATGTACGTGGATAAATGGATTGAGAGTCGATATGGTAGTTTTTGGAAGGTTCTGAAGAGTTTAAAAACATATTTTTAGGTTGGAGAGCAGTCGCTGTTCCCGGGGAATTACACGGAATGTGGACGGCGTTCAAACAGTACGGAAGCGGAAATGTAGGTGTTATTTTCTCGAAGAAAAACCGTATTTTTAGGTAACCTGGAAAAGTCTGGTTGAGCCGACGATCAACTTGTTGAATGAGGGTAGGTTTTTCTAGTTTTTTGTTGTTGAGATTTTTCGACTTTAATGAATGAAATAAATTTAGGTTATCCCACTTCGTCCGCACTCGCCGGCGCGTTGTGGGGAATGGCGAATCTGATCGACCGCGAGCCGACGATGCGCCCTTTTATCAACCCGGCCACCGGAAATGTGTATCGAAAAGGAGAGCAAATTAAAACGAGGTAAAACAAAAGCTAAATTCCGCGCGAAATAGATATATTTTTTAGAACGGCTCTCCTGGAGACAATGCGTACTCTGGCCAATGCAGCAGATCCCGTCAAAGCTTTCTACGATAGCGAGATGACCCAAAAGATGGTCAACGAGTTTCAACGAAACGGTAAGATTAGCTGTTACTTTTTTTGGGGCTGGTTCCTTATCGGGGGGCGGGGGGACAAATTCGCAACTGTAATTAACGCTTTTACTAGCGCTTGGTGGTTTGCTATAACCAAAAAAAATTATAAAAGCCGTTTAAAGATTAAAAATGGACACTTTTGACCGTTTTTTATACGTTTTAGATGAAACTCGCGTTTTTCAAATTTAATAATTTTGGATGTACTAATCTAATCTACTTATCCGCTGATTCCTCCCCCCTCCGATAATGAATCAGAACCTTTTTCCACGTTCATCTTTAAGGCGGTCTTCTAACGCGTGAGGATTTCCGCGAGTACAAATCAATCATTCGCAAAGATGGCGAAGTCATTTCAATGAGGTTTCCATGTTTTAACTTTTTTTCACTCCTGATTTCAGACTTTCAAATGGGCGCTCAGTCTGCGGCCCGCCGCCGCCTTCGAGCAGCGCAGTCGCGATGGGAATCCTGAATGTCATGGATGGCTATGAGAATAGAATGCACTCCTTTGCGGACATTTCCCTGCTGTATCATCGTTTTATCGAGGTATGCCGGAAATCCTTACACAATGTCACATTTAGGCGTCAAAATTCGCGTACGCCGAGCGCTCCTACCTGGGCGATATGGACTTTAACGGAGATGCGATGCAGGCGGCTCGGAAATTGACGCAAAACGAATGGGGAAACTGGGCGCGGTGAGCTAATTAAAATATTTTAGAAAATCTGTTTTTTAGGGAACGAATTGGGGATAGGACGCATCCGGATGCGTACTATGGCGGCAATTTCACGGCTCCACCGCAGGATCACGGAACGACGCATATTAGTGTGATGGATAGACAGGGGAATGTCGTGTCCGTGACGTCGACCATTAATTTGTTGTGAGTGTTTTAGGGTAATGAAAATAGTCTAGAAACTATACCGAAATTCCCGGAACTATAAACGAAAGCTTTTCAAACAAAAATTCGGTTTTGAAAACATGAAAAACTATGATTTTTCTACGGTTTTTTAAAATGGAAATAAAACAATTTCGATACACTTATTTTTAGTATGGGCGCCGTGGTGGCGTCAGAATCTTCAGGGATCCTCTGGAATGATGAGATGGACGATTTTAGTACTCCAGGTTCGTCCAATACGTATCATCTACGTAGAATTTGTTTGTTTTAAATAGCTGTTTGCTGGCTTTAATTTGGGCCCTAGCCGATTTAGTATAACGTGATTCAGGCCACCCGAACGCCTTCGGCTTCCCGCCATCCCCAGGCAAATTACATTCGCCCCGGTAAACGGCCGATGAGCAGCCAGGCACCAATCGTCATTTACGACAATAATCAGCTACATGTGGGCCTATTTTTTGTTTATCGTAATTTGTACTACAAACTTTATAATCGAAAAAAGCAGAATTACTTCTTAGAGAGTTTTCAGTTGCTAGGAATTGCATTTTTCAGCGTGTGATGGGCGTGGGCGCAGCTGGGGGATCGACGATTATCACAGGAGTTGCAGGTTACAGAGAATTTTTTAGTTTTAAGTTTTTTCTAGGTGTTGCCCTGCATGCTCTCTGGTTAGACGCCAATGTGAAAGAAGCCGTCGACGCGCCAAGGCTACACAATCAGCTCTACCCAAATACGACGCAATATGAGGCCAATTTTCCAAAGGTTGGCTCAGCTTTGGTTTAGGCTTAGGCTTTGCTTACGCTTAGACTTGGCTTAGGCTCAGATATTGTAGTTAACTTCAAATTAAATAACTAATTGAATTTAGGCGTACGTCAAGGCGCTAGAAGCCCGCGGTCACAAAATGGTCAAAGTGGCCAACCTGACCGTGGTGACAGCCGTCGAAAAAGGGCCCGACGGCCAGATTTATGCGAATTCTGATTTTAGGTGAGTTTTTAAGTCACAAATATCATCCTAAATCATTTATATATCATCGAATCAACCCATTTTTTTCAGGAAAGGCGAAGAAAGCCAACCGGCCGGTTTCTAGGTTTATACAATTCTGTCTTCTTCTTCTTCCCTGCCTCGATTCGGGTATCCACAATTGCTGTGATTTTTATTGCGTGTTGAAAAAATATAGATAAATTTTTGCGAATTTTTGGCGCTGAACACTGGATTGTTTCGGAAAATTGGACAGACAAAGAGAAACAAAAAAGTGCAGAATTCGTTAGCCATTTTAGGGGGATCCCCCGTTGGTTTCAACTACAGCGTCTCGCCGTTTCTTGGAGACGGTTGCGACAGAATTTTCGAGAGGGAAACGAAAGCTAGAAACTAGGCGAGAAGCCATCAGTCGACAAAAATGAAGGTAGCTGTGGTTGGGCTGATTTGCCTTTTGGCTCTGATTGAAGCGGCTTCGTTGGAGGATCAAATTCGTGATGTTCAGGCGGCAAAAGTCAGGGTTAAGGTGAGTCTTCGTCGTCCCGCGGAGCTTTCGCATTATCGAGGGGGGTTATCAGGGGGAGGAGCCGATTTTTTTTATAATTGTGCCTATTAACGTCATAAAGCGCGATTTTAGTAGCGTTTTAATAAAATTCACCGGTCCCTTTGAGGGGCGCCCATATTCGATAAAAAAGTTTGAAAATTTCTGCCATAACTTTGTTTTTTGGTCAAGATTTCGAAAGTTTGGGAGCTTGACGAGTTTATCGATAGCAGAAAAATTAATTCTCTATCGAACGGTGACTGTTGCACAGGGCGTTCTCGAGGAATAAGGAGCTATTCAAGTTGTAAAGTTTCACAAATTTCCGAAACAGTGGTTTTACAACGAGCTTTTCGTCCTCTTGGTATAAGATACCGTCAATAAGTTGCTAATGAGTTACGCGAAGTACAAATGTACTATTTTGGCTCAAATATCAAAGCTTTTGGAAAGCTAAAGCCATTTTTCAAAACGATAATATGGAGCTTCGAAATAATCGGGATTTATAAGGTCATTTTCGAGCGAAATGGATCAAAAGAGAGCGTGAATCGAGAATTACTGAATTATCATGTTTCGGTTCAGAAGACGACCGTTCAAACGGCAATTTTTTTTCTGTCAAAGAGGCGCAAGCCTGGTAATATACTGTCCTAAAAGTCTACTAAAGTGAAAGGCCCCAAGTGGTAATACATCTCGACTATTTAGTAAAAAATTCGACCCGGGCCGCCATTGCAAAAATTAGCCTTCTGAGAGGGGGCCGGGAATTGAACTGGCGCGAGCTGTTTTTGGGCCGCTTTCCGGCAAAACACCA